TAAATCATTGGCCATTAAAGTTGGATTCGACCTCAAGCTCCTCTCCCCTCCTCCGAAATCAGGGGGTGAGACTGAAAGTTCCAGTCCTCCAACCACATAGTTGGCTCTTACTGGTAACCGCCCCCACCCTTGGGTGGGGTCCAGAAGTCACCTCATTAACCTCATAACAAGAGACACCATTGTTGCTGTCATCACTTAGGTAATTCCAGGGAGGGGGTGGGAGCTCTGTGCCAGAAACAGGGACACGGACCAAATATATTATTTCTTAGTACAAGTCACAATATCACACACACCCAGTTCTTTCAACTGCTTTTTAAAACGAATTCTGTATTTTTATTGTTCCCCTCTATGGATGTAATTCATTTCATCAACTTTTCTCTCAGAATGTAGTGCCAAAACTTGACCATAGATTTCTGGTGGTAACATGGAATCTGGCAGAGCCTCCTATGTCATAAACACCACGGCTCAAGGTTGCCCTTCCCTTCATCTCTCTTCAAAAACACATATTGGGCTTTTTTTCTTTTTAAGAAAATTGCTCCTTTGATACGGTTCCCACATAGAACACTCTTTTGAAGGGTCCCCCTGTCTCTTCCTCTTGCTCTCCCACTTACTTTTATCCTCAACAGCCCACCCCACCATGCCCCGCCCCCAGCCGCGGACACAGAAATTTCGTACCTGGATCTGCTTAGGCCTGGGTCTGAGTGAGGTGAGAGTGAGGGGCCCTCTGGTGCCCCAGGGGCATATTAGACTGTGTTGTACTTGAAAGGAGCAACCACGAGAAAGCCAAGAAGTCCCCTTAGAACATGTTGCTAAAGATCAGATTACTAGATATAAGGATACAATAAGTTTTATGACCCTTGTAATGAACATAGCCGGCTATTTCCAGACATAGCAATTTACATTGCTACCAAAGTTACTGAGAATTTGAAATGAACAAGCATTAGGGTGTTTTATTTTTTAAGTTAATAATTATAGCATCTTTATAGGCATTTAATTTGCATTCCTTTAGTAATACAACATACTTTTGGTTTTAGTTGTAAAGGCAAATGTTTGAATAAAAAAGGTAGTATTAGTCATAGCTTTTTTGAAAACAAAGATTTATCAGTAGGAGAGAAAAGGTATAAATCAAGTAATGTAGGAGGGACCACAATTCGTGATATCAAACTATGCTATAAGGCCACTGTAATCAGAACAGCCTGGTACTGGTATAAGAACAGGCACAAAAATCAATGGAACAGAATAGAGAGCCCAGAAATAAACCCATGTCTGTATGGTCGATTAATAATTGACAAAGAGGGCATGAACATATGATGAAGTAAAAATAGTCTCATCAACAAATGGTGCTGGGAGATCTGAAATGGTACATGCAAAAAAAAAAAAAATGAAACTAGACCACCAACTTATGCCATACACTAGAATAAACTGAAAATGGATAAAAGACTTAAGCCATGACACCATAAAAGTCCTACAGAAAAACATAGGAAGTAAAACTTCAGATATCCCCTGCAGCAATATTTTTGCTGATACATCCTCTAGGGCAAGGGAAATAAAGGGAAAAAAATGAGACTACATCAAATTAAAAAGCTTTTGCACAGCTAAAGAAAACATCAGCAAAATAAAAATGGAACCAACCATATGTGAAAATATATGTGCCAGTTATACCTCAGACAAGGGTTTGATCCCCCAAATATATAAGGAACTCATGTGATTCCACAGCAGGAAGACAATCTAATTTAAAAATGGGCAAAGGAACAACAAAACAAACAAACAAGCAAAATATAACCACAGACACTGAAATTGAGAATAGGCTGAGACCAGAGGGGAGGGAATTTCAGGGGAAAAGGGGAAGGGTTTACAGGAACCAATATAAAGGACACATGGAGAAAAACTAGACAGGGGGTGGGGTGGAAATGGGAGGGAGGTGGGGAGGCTGGCTGGGTGGGCTGGGATGGGAGTACAAGACAGGAAACTCTACTTGAAGAACAATTAAAAAACAAATAAATGAACGAATAAAAATGGGCAAAGGACCTGAACAGACACTTCTCTAGGGAGGACATACAGAGGGCACATGCACATATGAAAGGATGCTGAGCATCACTAGCCATCAGATTAAAATCACAATGAAATACCACCTCACACCTGTTAGAATGGCCATCATTAATAAATCAACAAACAACAAGTGTTGGAGAGGATGTGGAGAAAAGGGAACCCTAATGGACCATTGCTGGGAACGCAGACTGGTGCAGCCACTGTGGAAAACAATGTGGAATTTCCTCAGAAAACTGAAAATAGAACTGCCTTTTGACCCAGCAGTCTCACTGCTGGGATTATACCCTAAGAATCCTGAAACACCAATTCAAAAGAACCTATGCACCCCAGTGTTCACAGCAGCATTATGTATAATAGCCAAGTGCTGGAAACAGCCTCAGTGCCCATCAGTAAATGAGTAGATTAAAAAAGTGTGGCACATTTACACAGTGGAATACTATGCAACAGAAAGAAAGAAGGAGCTCCTACCATTTGTAACAGCATGGATGGAACTGGAGAGCATTATGCTAAGTGAAATAAGCCAGGTGGTGAAAGACAAATACAATATGATCTCACCTATAAGAGAAACCTAATGAGTAAACCAAACAAATGAGAAAAATAGAACCAGAGGCATTGAAACAAGGAACAAAGTGATGGAGACCAGAGGAAACAGGGGAGGGGGACAAGGGAGGAAAGAAGGGGAAGGGCCTAGTTAAAGAACAATGTAAGTGACCCATGAACAATAGGGTGGGGATGGACTGTGGGTGGGGGTGGCTGGGCAGGCAGGGGAGAGTAATGGAGGAAATTGGGACAAATGTAATTAAACAACAATAAAAAGATATAAATCAAGTAATGTTATTTTCTGAAGTTATGTTTGTCCTGAGAAAATAAGTTTCTAATGATTTTTTTTTTCACACACAAGGCTCACAGAGGGCTAAAAATAGTTCATGTTCCTGCTAGGTACAGTGACAAGGCCTCTCAATTTAGTCACATTGGATAGAGACTTCAGGAGGGTCATGCCTTGGAAGTAGGGTTATGTTATCCCCCAAATTAAAGCTGTTCTAGACCCACGAGAAAGTTCAAACACAAGCCTTGAAGATATCAAACTGATTTGCAATATGTTAGCTGTGTCTTGTTCAATAGAACAAAAACTAAAACAATGTCCAAACATGTTTAAAGAAATATAACAAAATTCAGCACCTCCAAAAATAAAATTTACAATATCCCACATTCTATCCCAGTGACCAATCATGCAAATAAGTATAAAAATATAACCTGTAACCAAAAGAAAACTCTACTATATAAATAAATACATAAATGTTAGAAATAATGAAATTAGTAGATATAAATCTTAAAGCAGCTATTATATATTTTATAATACAATGATAAGATATACAATGATATATCTTATAATACAAGAATATAAAGAAAACCATAAATATGATGAAGAGAAATAGAAGATATGCAAAAGACCATCTAGAAAGAAAATAAGTAAAAAATGTTTGAAGTTTACATTGTATGGAAAGAACAGCAAATTAGCCACTGTAGAAGAAATGACTCATAAACCTGAAAATGTAGCAATATGAACTCGAAAATAAGCATAGAGGGAAAAAAGACTGCAGGAAAAAAGCCTCAGTGAGCTGTGTAACAGTATCAAGTGGTGTAAGTTACATGTAATTAGTGTCTCTGAGAAGAAGTGACACAAAAAATATGTGAAAAATAATTTTGGTTGAATATTTTCCAAAAAATATTTGTTAAAAGCTATAAACTCAGACACTAAATTCAATGAATCCCAAGAAACAGAAATATAAAGAAACCAGGCCAAGGCACCTGATCATGTGCCATAATAAAATCACTGAATTCAGCGGTAAAGTGAAAAATCCTCGAAGCAGCAATGGACAAAAAGAACACAGACAACACGTGTAGCGGGACAAAGATAAGAAAACCAGCGACTTCACATCAGAAATCTTGCAAGCCAAAAGACAATGGATGACAATTCTTAAGTGCTTTGAAAGATAGAAATTGTTAGTGTAGAATTATATACCCAGTGAAAATCTCTCTAAAAGGAAGGTAAGAAAAAGACTTTTTCAAGGCAATAAATTCAACCACATAGATGAAATGAACATACTTCTTGGAAGACAGCATCAACCAAGGCTTGCTAAAACATAATGGATAACCTGAATAATCCTAGTCTAATCAAGAAATTGAACTGATAGCTAAAATACCTTGACACAAAGACAACTCTAAGCTCAGATGGCTTCACTGGAGAATTTTTGCAGACATTCAAGAAAACCATAATACCAATGAACATAAACTTTCAGAGAGGCAGTGTTTACCAATATAACTAGCTAAGATGAGGCTATACTGGTTTAAGTTGGGCATTAAATTCAATGACTGGTGTCCTTATAAGAAAAGGAAGGGACATAGGTACATAATGCAGGGAAGAGGCCACATCTCCATAGAGGCACAGATCGGAGTGATGCAGTTGCAATGCGAGGAACGAAGGATGGCTGGAAGCCAGCAGAAGTCAGGACAAGGAGGGGAGGATTCTCGCCAAGAGCCTGAAGAAGGAGAACGGCCCTGCCAACACATAATTCCTGACTTCAGTCTTCAGAACTGAGAGAGAATAAATTTCTGATTTTAAGTTCCAAAGTATGTGGCCACTTCTCACAGAGGCCGCAGAAAAGTAATGCACCTTGCTATACTAAATGATGTTTTTAAATTACATTTACAATATTAACCTTAAGTCATATTTGTTTGCTTGTCCAACTGCTCTCCTGTTGAAAACACAAACTAGAACAACTTTAGTTTACCATTGCCTTGGTCAACACTCAAAATGGCACCATGTTCAAAACCCGTTACTCTGTTCATCGGTCTCATTTGATTTGTTGGCTTTGTTTTTCCCAAAAATAATGTAAACTTCCCAAAATTCATTTGGGAAATTATATAATTTCTTCTTTCTCTTATTCTAGGTTTGTTTTTGCCATGGCCCAGTATGCTAAAGAATATAAGAGGCCTTATATAGCATCCAATTATCAAACCAAAATCATTCATCCCTGCCCAAGTCCAAGTCAATTGAGTTCAGCCTGGTTTTTTGGGGTTTTTTGCTTTGTTTTTAGAACTAAAATATTAGTCCTGACAATAAATTTTAAATTTTTCATTAGTTAAATTAAGTTTAAATATAGGAGGCTTAATTTTGTGTTCTCCTTTTAAGGTTGATTTAACTCTTTCTGACCAACCAACTGTTTTTAAAAGCAAATTACTTACATGAGAATTGGAGCTATGAGAAAATTTGAATTACTTATACGTTCAAGCTCACTACACTATAATATACAATTTGAAAATCTAAGGCTAAGTTCCAAAATGTATAAAAGTGTTCAAAACATGCAAAACACTAAATAAACTGATCCCTAAAACTCCTTGTAGGCTCAAAGATATGTGTAGAATGGTTGAAAAAAAAGGAATAATATTAGTTGAGTTGTTTTTGGTGCTCTTTTTTGAAAATAACATTTTTTCAAAGAAACATTTGGGATAATTCAATGGCAGGTCTTGTTTAGGAAGAGACAACTAGAAACTCATAATAGAAATCAGCTAGTCCAGAGGAGAAAGCAAGACATTTGGGGGCAGAGAACTTGAATTTAGGTAACAGGTCTGTGTAATTATGGGAAAGTCACTTAACCTCTAAGCCTCAGTTCTTTCATTCTCAGCTAGTACTGGGTACACAGAAAATGTTTCATAAATATCTGTTTCACAGGAGTCTTATGACTAAATGACTGCATATATATATATATATATATATATATATATATATATATATATATATATAGTCTTTGTGTACTGGAAAGCACTATAAGCATTAGGGATTGTTTTTCTGGCACCTCCCTATTCTGTACACACAATAGCACACAACTGCTACGCACAGGCAATAACCTTCATTCAGTGATTCTGCAAGGTTCCTGCACCCATCTCTCTAACACTTTTCCTGGGCTCAAATTCTGCTTCTAACAGAGTCCCTCCTCCTCATTTTGGTATGCTGGTCTCAGATTTCCTTCTCTAAACCACCAGCCACAGTTTCTCCATTCAGCTCTGCTTTCTTCCAGATTTCAGGCCACCTGCAAGGATTGGTAAGAAATGTTGCCCTTTGCAGCCTTACTCTCTGCCTCCTCCATGAATGCTCCACTCCTTTCTGCGATCATTATCCTTCAACAGCCCCACCATCTTCACCAATGGAAGAGATCAGTTGGAGAAGTTGGTGAATACAGCAAATTCTGCTCACGCTTTTTCAGACTACTTCCTACAGCTCCAACTTGCTTGTTTTGCCAAGTCCAGAATCCTTTGTTTCTCGTTTCATTCAAGATAATGTTTAGATTCTTTCACGTGGCAAAGTCTTCAATGCTCCAATATCTATCTGCCTTCTCAGTGATACCTCCTGCCACTCTCCCATTCACACCGAAACACACCACCGACCTGTGGTCGTGACTGTTTATTTCCTCCCTCATTTTAAAAAAAATTGACAAATACACTGTGTTTTCTCATACTCTTGCTCCAAACAACCTCCTCTCCCTTCTTTTCTTTTCTAGTACCTACTCATCCTCTGACACTCAGCTCAGACATTACCTCCTCCACAAGACTTCCCCTGTGGACTCTCTCATAGCATTTTTATCATGCTATATTGATTTTCTATTGCTATGCAACAAATTACCGCACACTTGGTGGTTTGAAACAACACACATTTATTATTTCACAGTTTTGGTGTGCCTAGAGGCCAGGCACAGTGCAGCGGGCCCCTTTGCTAGGGATCTCATAAGGCTCAGTCAAGGTATCAGCAGGACTACATTCTTATCTGGAGGCTCAAATGGGGAGGATCTGCTTCCAAGCTCTCTAAGGTTGATGATGGAGTCCACTTCCTTCTGGCCTTAGAACTGAGGCCCCGGCTTCTCACTGACTATATGCTGGAGGCCTGCCTCAGCTCCTTGAGGATGCCTGTAGTTGATTGCTATGCGGGATTTCCCAACATAGCCTCCTGCTTCAGCTGGCCAGCAAGAAGAGTCTTTAGAGCAAGTCTAATAGCAAGATGAAATATGTACTGTAACATAATCACGGGAGTGAGATTCCTCACCTTTGGCATATTTTATTGATTAGAAGAAAAATCATAGGTCCCACCCACCCACACTTAAAAGGGAAGGGATTACATAAAGGTATGAACACTAGAATTTGGGGTTCATGACAGGCCCCCTTCACGAAGAACAGAGTGTTCACGAATGACAGAGTTTGTCCTTGGCACATGCTGTGTTATGTGAGTCTCTTTACTGCCAGTCCCTTCAACAGACAGTGACCTCCTGAGGGAAGGGGCAGCTTATCCCTCAATCTGCCACAGCCCAGTGCTTGTCATGTAATAGTTATTCAATGCTCATGGACACACGAACAAATAAATGATAGAATGAAGGAGGGTTGTTGTGCTTTTAACAGCCCTCATTTTAGAAAAAGGGGAGTAAGTGCATGATGAGTGAGAAATATTAAGGAAGGTCAGCTGGAAGAGAGAATATTTAAAGGAATGTCCAGAAACTAATTAGCTCTTTGATGCTTAGCCTTGTCTTCTCTGAAAATGGAGTAGAGGATCCTTTGTGTTTAACCTTACTGCTAAGAGAAGAGACTGTACCTAAGAGGTCATGGTAAACTAGAATATTGTTCAGAAATGTTTCTCCCTCTCTGGATCCACCTCCACGGGCAGAATACACTCCCTTGACCTTTGAGGTTTGCCGTGTGACTTGTTTTGATCAATGGATTAGTAGGTGTGACATGCTCAGGGTTTAGGAAGGGTTTGTGCAGTTGGGCTTGCTCTTTTTCATTCCTGCCATCATCCCAAGAACGTGCCTGGACTAGCCCTCTGGTCACAGAGAAAGCTGAGAAGCATGGAGCTCCGCTTTCCCAGTCATGTTTTCCAGCCATGCCTTCCAGCCATGCCCAGACCGAAGAAGCCAACCGCCAGCTCCACTGCAGATGTGTGACCCAAACAAATGCTCGTTGTTGTATGTCACCGAGATTTTGTGGTTGTATATTATGTAGCAACAGTGAACTTACAGAGTATCAAAGGGACGTCTGACTCAGAAAATGAATGAACTTTGTGCTCCTCTTTAGCAGAGAGGGTTAGCATGTTAGAGTTTGCCAGTGAAAAAATTCACCTGAGATTCAGGAGGCGAGGGAGAAGACACCATTATGCCTTTTTAAAATGTATTTTTCAATTACAGTTGACATCCACCATTATATTAATTCTGATATACAACATAGTGCTTAGACATTTATCTAATTTACAAAGTGATCTTTCCAATAAGTCCAGTACCCACCTGTCACCATGGAGCAGTAATACTGACTCTATTCCCTGGGCTGTACTTCACATCCCCACGACTGTTATGTAACTACCAATTCCTACTCCTTACTTCTTTCACGCAGCCCTCCAATTCCCCTTCCATTTGGCAACCTTTAGTTTGTTCTCTATATCTATGAGTCAGTGTCTGTTTTGTTTGGTTCTCTGATCTGTGAGCCTGTTTCTGTTATGTTTGTTCATTTATCTTGTTCTTTAGAGTCAACATATAAGTGAAATCATATGGTATTTGTCTTTCTCTGTCTGACTTATTTAGCATAATACTCTCTAGGCCCATCCATGCTGTTGCAAATGGTAATATTTTATTATTTTTATGACTGAGTGGTATTCCATTGTTTATATGTATTACCTCTTTATCCACTTACCTACTGATGAACACTTGGGTTGCTTCTATATCTTGGCGATTATAAATAATGCTGTAATGAATGTAGGGTGTATATAGCTTATTGAATTAGTGTTTTAGATTTCTTTGGATATATACCCAGAAGCAGAATTGCTGGATCGTAAGGTAGTTCTATGTTTAATTTCTTGAGGAATCTCCAAGCTGTTTTCCACAGTGGCTGCACTGATTTATATTACCAGCAACAGGGTACAAGAGTTCCCTTGTCTTCATATCTTCACCAACACTTACTGTTTGTTGATTTATTGATGATAGTCATTTTGACAGGTGTGAGGTAATATTTCACCTGTGGTTTTAATTTGCATTTCTCTGATAATTGCTGACTTTAACATATTTTCATATTACTATTGGCAATCTCTATGTTCTCTTTGGAGAAGTGTCTATTCAGGTCCTCTGCCCATTTTTTAATTAGATTGTTTTTTGGGGCATTGAGTTGTCTGGATTTTTAATAAATTTTGAATATTAACCTCTTATTGGATGTGTCATTGGTGAATATGTTCTTTGATTTAGTAGATTGTCTTTTGTTTTGTCTATGGTTTCCTTTGCCAGAACTTTTTAGTTTGATGTAGTCTTCTACATTTTTCATTTGTTTGTTTTATTCTCTTGCTTGGATAAGATATATTAGAAAAATAATGCTAAAAGCAATGTCGGAATATTTACTGCCTATGTTTTTTCTAGGATTTTTATAGTTTTGAGTCTGACATTTAAGTCTTAATCCATTTTGAGTTTCTTTTTGTATGTAATATAAGGAGATTGCCTAGTTTCATTCTTTTTCATATATGTGTCCAATTTTCCCAATACCATTTGTTAAATTAACTATCTTTACCCCATTGTATATTCTTGCCTCCTTTGTATTATATTAATTGACCATATAGATGAGGGTTTATTTCTGCATTTCTGTTCCCTTCAATTGACCTCTGTGTCTGTTTTTATACCAGTACCTTGATTACTATAGTCTTGTAGTATAGTTTGATATGCAGTAGTATGACACCTTCAACTTTGTTCTTTCTTTCTCAAGATTACCGTTGCTATTTAGGGAGATTATTATTCCTGAGAAGTTGTGTATATCAAGCAAGGTAGCCTCCACAGAGGCTTTCACGTAACTTTCATGTAACTCTTTTCAAACTCTCACTTTACAGATATGATGACTTCACACATATATCCATGAACTCATCGTTTTTATCCCACTTTGGGTGTCAGGACACATGCAGCTACTTGTACTTCCCCACGAACTCCTGGTTTTCCCACTCATGTCAGTGCATTGGGCTAAGTAGGTAGTGATTGCTTTCCCAGGAGTTTTGTTTTCCAGCTACAGCCTTCAAGCCCTTCACTCTTCCAAGTCTTCTCCCACATGTTTGAGCCCATTTTCCTATATTAAACTCCTTATTTCTGTGTTAGTTATATCATGGTTCTGTTTTCCTAACTGAATGCAGCTGATACAGAGGTGAATGGAAATAAACCATTTGACAATAAGCAGGGCCCACCCATCAGGACAAATTTTAATATATTCACTTTTTAATTATTTTAAAATTAAAATTATAGGAGGTGAAGTGTCCAGCATCCATCCCAAGAAACATAAACTATAAGGCACTTATAACTTGTGCTTCCATGACTAATTTTAACATAGAATATAATTATTTATTCCCACCAGTAAGTCCAAAGTTTCTCAGAGGGACTTATAATGCTTAAGTTTTTTTCTGGAGGAAATAAGTTCAAAATTGTATTTATTTTTTTCTGTGTCATGAGGAATCATTTCTATATTTATTTTGCATTAAGCTCTGCTAATCTAACCAGGATTTCTTTTTATGTTTCCTGGGAGTTTTTTTTTTTTTTAAACAGGGCAGGAACTAGAAGGGCAGATGGTTAAAATGATTGACAACCAACATTCACTTCACCCCAACCACTGGTGTCAGCTAACCCCGTTTTCCTTGCCCGTGACTATTCAGGAGTGGGGTATGGCACAATCCGCCTGGAAGGAAACACGCTGGGGACCTCAAGATGTTTTTCTACTCTTGAAAGTGAGACCCTGGAAGAAGACCCCCTTTTCTTCCTCTGGGTGTTTCCATATCTGAAGCTAATAGTGCTAGAATGGCCATACCTCTCTTGCTGTGACTCTGAAAATAAAGATAATACCAAAGATGGCCAAGCAGAGCAGTAAAGTGAACTTGTCCCAGTGACATTGTTGAGGCACTGTGTCACTCAGTCCTGCCCCGTCTGACTTGTCTCCTGTGAGATGAGACATTTCCCGATTGTTTAAACCATTTTCAATTGGGCTCTGTATTTCTTATAACCAAAAGCATGTGGATTCAGAAAAGCCCAACATGATTAGAAAAAGCTAGTTGGTTGCATCACTGATACGTTCATAGAAAATAAAGAAGAAGGTTTTCTCAAGGGGAAAAATAGAATTTAGTTTTCAACTAATGAAAGCTAGAGACCAACAGTAAAATGCAAAGACAAACACTTGATCATTGGAGACCTCAGGGCTCTCACAGGGTAATGGCAGCTGTCTGAACTACAATCTTTCTTCAAACCCATCTATAAATCAGAGACCAAGAGAAAAATTTACTCATAACCTTTATCTATAATATAACTAGAAGGCAGTGAATATTACAAGTTCATTTGCTATGTAGTGGAAGGAATAAACATTCTGTAGGAGGCCAACAGACTCTGTCCTGGAACCCACACTGGGCAGTGGGTTTGGTGGCAGCCGTGCAGAAGGGAGGCAAAGGCGATGGGGTGGTAGAGGGGCAGAGCAGAAACAGCACCCACCAGGTTCATCCCCAGAAAGCAAGTTCCCATGCTGGGTGGAAATATTTAGAAGCATCAATATTATATCTAAGTTCTTCTTAAAATTGTAAACAGTTTATTTTCCTGTTCACAAGAGCTGCATAGAAAAGATGAAACTCCTTTGCCTGACATGAGTCCTTCCTAATCTGGCCCCCACCTAACGAGACAGCTCCACTGGATCCTTCATGCACTGTGACACGGTGATGGTGGGTTCCATGGGCCTGGGGTCAAATCTTACTAACTGGATGCCCTTGAGCATGTTACTGCAGGTCACTCAGTCTCGATTTACTCATTGGTCAAGTAAGGATAATAATGCCTGCCTGTCACAGGGTTGTGTCTAAGATAAAAAAATATTATACATTTAGGCTGCTTAGCACAGCACCCGGCACAGTGTAAATACTGAAGTGTCAACTCTGATGATCTCTGAACCCGTAGGGTTCTTGTGCACCCTTGTGTCTTTGTATGTGCTATGTCCTCTATCTGAAGTGCTCCTACCCTCTTCTCTGCCCTCCTCTGTTTAGCAAATTGCTCCTCTTTCAGAGTCCACGTCTGTTTTCGCTTGGTGACTCCACCTTGTGCTGCTGAAGCACCCCTGGGCGTACCTTTCTCCTTACACGTCTGCTGGCACTTAGCAGGGGCTCAGGAAATGAATGCTAAGTGAATAAACTAACAGAATACAGAGATTGACCAAAATGGAAAGAGAGACTGGTAACAAATAAAATTCAGTGCAAAATGTAAAATTTAGAAAGTTTAAAAATGTTGCTTGCATTCACTCACATGATCTTAGGCATTATGCTCCAAATGTGGGGACACTTTTTTAAATTGTATTTCCTGCCATCTTTTAAATTTCTATGGGTTTTTTGGTATTTATTATTGTAGTTCTGTTTTTGCCAGATCCATAAGCTGAAACAGAAGTTGTCACAAAGACTGGTGCAACAGAGGAAGGATGGAAGAGTGATGATGACCTCAGCGATTCATGGGAAAAAGAAGTGGAAGATCTGGTCACCTCGACCAACACTCTTGATACAGATACTTTAGAAGATTAAACCTAGTGCTCCAGGATTTAAAAAATAGTCTCAACCACAGCTCAGCTTCATACAGCAACTTTGAAAGGGTCTCTGAACTTGGATTCCATTTTTGTTCAAATTAGTCTTATCTTCTTAATGCAGGCACAAATTAGAAATAAAAGTAAAAATCAATGAGCATGTTGCTTTGAATTTTTTGAGCTCCACTTTGTTCTTTGAAACTAAGTTAGACAAATCAGGGTGTTCATTGCAGTATTACCCACGGTTGGTTGGCAACTGGATACAAGTTTCTGCAGTCAGGTCATGGGTCAGGAGAGGCTGGGATAGGAGGGGAACACTCAAGAGCTCCAGCATCCCCGGACATTAGCCCAAATAGAGGGATCTATACATTTATCCACGTCCTTCTTCTTAAGTGTCTTCTTTGCTCCACATTCGTGGGATGAAATGTTACCTGTCCACCAATCCTCCTTTTGTATTTTCTCCCAGAATTCATGCTCTGTTTTCTCCTCAACCAGCCATCTCCTCATATTCTCATACTTGTATTTTTTCCCCTTCTTTTTGCTGTGTTGCCTCAACCTACAAATATGCTTGGGTCACTCCTATGACAAAATATGTCTCCACCTATTACTCCATGTTTCTACTTCCCTCAACACTACATCATTCATATTTTCTCAGGTTCATTAGTAGCGGTCTACTATTTGCTCTCCTTATTTCTTTAGTTCACTTTACATTTGCATATATTACAAATAAAATCTGCCCTCTGTTTATACTACTCAATTAAAATTCACTAGGGTCACAGAATATTTCTATATTGCCAAAATTCTATAGATACCTTATTTTTATTGGAACTATGTTGTTATAGAAATGATATTGTATAATTAAAATGTGCCAGCTAGCCCTGGCTGGTGTAGTTCAGTGGATTGAGCACAGGCCCGTGAAGCAAAGGGTCGCTGGTTCGATGCCTAGGCAGGGTACATGCCTAGGTTGCAGGCCAGGTGCCCAGTGGGGGACACATGAGAGGCAACCACACATGGATGTTTCTCTCCCACTCATTTTCTTTCCCTTCCCCTCTCTCTAAAAATAAATAAATAAAATATAAAAAAGGGATCCAGCTAAAATTTATGCATGTAAGAACCATACAGAGGACTGCTTCTTCTACATTACCTTTGTTAGTTTTTACATATATCAGTGGAAAATATGTTCTTCTGATAGAAAGCAATCTCATAAATTATAACTGAATTGGATTAAACATGGAAGATTAATAAGAGTAATATATCAAAATGAAGTCTACCTTATCATCCCATTTTAAAAAGCTAATAAATGCCTAAGTCACAAAGATTGGTACAACTAATATAAATCCTGTGGCACTAGAGGAAAAAGTCTAGTGGCTTCTGGTGTTTTCTGACACATTCCAACTTTTAAAAAAATTTTAATCTTCATTATATTTTTTCCATTACCTTTTAGTCCTCTTACAACCCCCTCTTCACCCTCCAGCAGTTACCACACTGTTGCCCATGTCCATGAGTCCTTTTTCCTTTTTGTTCAATCCCTCCACCCACTAAATTCACCACCCCCAACTAGCTGTCATATACTCTCCATCTATGAGTCTCTCCTTTTTCTTGTTAGTTCAGGTTGCTCATTAGATTCCACATGTGAGTGAAATCATATGGTACTTGTCTTTCTCTCACTGGCTTATTTCACTTAGCATAATCTTCTCCAGGTCCATCCATACTGTCTCAGAGGGTAAAATTTTTTATTGCTGAGTAGTATTCCATTGTGTAAATATCCCATAGTTGTTTTATCCATTCATATACTGATAGACACTTGGGCTGCTTCCATATTTTGGAGAGGGGCGGTTCTTATGTTCTTTCTAATTAGTGTTTTGGTTTTGTTTGTATATATTCTCAGAAGTGGGATCACGGGGTCAACAGGCAGATTCAGTTTTAATTTTTTGAGGTATCTCCATACTGCTTTCCACGGAAGTTCCACCAATGTGCATTCCCACCAACACTGCAAAAGGGTTCCCTTTTCTTCACATCCTCGCTTGTTGCTTGTTGATTTATTGATGATAGCCATTCTGACTGGTATGAGATGGTATCTGATTATCATTTAACTGGCATTTTTCTGATGATTATTGACATCAGCATCTTTTCATATGTCCATTGGTCATCTGTATGTCCTCTTTGGAGAAGTGTCTATTTAGGTCTTTTGCCCATTTTTTAAAATTAGGTTGGGGTTTTTTTGGTGTTGAGTTTTATAAGTACTTTATACATTTTGGCTATTAACCCCTTATCAGATGTATTGGTGAATACATTCTCCCATTCTGTGGTTTGTCTTCTTATTTTGCTGATGATTTCCTTTGCTGTGCAAAGACTTTTTAGTTTGCTATAGTCCCATTTTTTTCTTTTGTTTCTTTTGTGTGGGGAGATACATCCAATAAAAACCCGCTATGAGCAGTGTCAGAGGTTTTGCTGTCTATATTTTTTTCCTAGGATTTTTACGGTTTAGGATCTAACATTTAAGCCTTTGATCCTTTTGAATGTATTCTTGTGTATGGTGTAAGAAGGTGGTCTAGTTTCATTTTTCTGCACGTATCTGTCCAATTTTCCCAATACCATTTATTGAATAAACTATCTTTACCCCATTGTATGTGGTTGCATCCCCTGTCAAATATTAATTGACTATAAAGGTGTGGGTTTATTTATGGGCACTCTATTCTGTCCATTGATCAATGTGTCTGTTTTTATGCAAGTACCAGGCTGTTTTAATTACTATGGTCTTATAGTATAGTTTGACTTTAGGTAGTGTGATTCCTCCAACTTGGTTCTTCTTTCTCAGGATCACTGTTGCTATGTGGGGCCTTTTGTAGTTCCATATAAATGTTTGAAGTATTTGTTCTAGTTCTGTGAAATATGTCATTGGAATCTTGATGGAGTTGCATTGAATTTATAGATTGCTTGGGGTAGTGTGAACATTTTGATGATGTTAATTCTTCCTCGCCATGAACACAGTATGTGCTTCTTCCACTTATTTGTATCTTCCTCAATTTCTTTCTTTCATGTATTATAATGTTCTGAGTACAGGTCTTTTACATCCTTTGTTATGTTTATTCCTAGGTATTTTATTCTTTTTGAAGCAATTATGAATGGAATTGTTTTCTTAATTTCCCTTTCTGTTAGTTATTGACCTATAAAAATACAATTGATTTCTGGATATTAATTTTGTATCCTGCTACTTTGCTGAATTCTAACCCAAAAACTCAATTCAGGCATCATCTCCACAAAGTCTTCTTTCCATACTGCACACACACCCCCCCCCGGCTCCTCTCTCTGTTTCTCTCTCACACTCTGTCTGTCTGTCCCTCTCTTTCCCAACAGAGTGTGTGTATGTATGTGCAGTTATATTGAAATTGTCACCTTTCCCATCTGACTCTCCCACTAAATTTTCAAAGTGTAAGCCAACCAGGTAGATACCACCTTAGATATATTTACTAATATAGGACACACATAACAACAGTTGCCACAATCTCTTCACCTCAAACAAAAGTTCTTGTCTCACTGTATCAAAAACTGCTTTTAAAAATAAACTTTGAAAATTCACCAAGTTGGCAAATTTGAAAGTAGCAAAAGGGGAAGCTTTATTAATAAGGAATACCTTAAGAGAGTTGATTCTGGAAGAAGGTGTTTTTAGTGAGGTGTGATCAACATGCAATAAATTAAGCTATTTATTTATCTATTTTAAAGATTTTATTTATTTATCTTTAGAGGGGAAGGGTAGGAGAGAGGGAGAGAAATAGCAATGTATGGTTGCCTCTTGTGCATCCCCTGCTGGGAAATGGCCTGCAACCCAGGCATGTGCCCTGTCTGGGGATTGAACCATGATCCTTTGGTTCATAGGCCCACGCTCAATTCACTGAGCTACACCAGCCAGGGCTAAATTAACCTATTTAAAGTATACAATTTGATAAGTTTTTACTTATGATACACCCATGTAATCATCACTACTATCAAGATTCAGAACATTTCTGCCATTCCACCAAAGTTCTTAATCTTTATAATAGTGATGATTACATGGATATATCACATATCAAAAGTTATCAAAATACCCTTTCTCCATTGAATTACCTTAGTACTTTTATCAAAAAGCAGTTATCCATATTATAGATGGGTCTATTTCTGACTCTCCATTCCACTGATTTTTGTTTGTCTATCTTTACAAGACAATAGTTTCTTATTTACTATAGTTTGTTATGCCTTTTTAAAGATATATTTTATTGACGATGCCATTATAGTTGTCCCATTTGCCCCCTACATTCCCTTCCACCCTGCACACCCTCTCCCACCCACATTCCTCCGCTTAGTTCATGTCCATGTGTCATAAGTTCTTTAGCTTCGACATTTCCCACACTACTCTTGCCCTCCCCCTGTTTTCTCCCCACCACCTTTGCTACTTATTCTCTGTACCTTCTCCCCACCCCCCATTTCCCTGTTGCTAACCCTCCATGTGATCTTCATTTCTGTAGCTTCACTCCTGATCCAGCTGTCTGCTTAGTTTGCTTTTGTTTTAGGTGTGGTTGTTAATAACTGTGAGTTTGCTGTCCTTTCACTGTTCATACTTTTTATCTTCTTTTTCTTAGATAAGTCCCTTTAACATTTCATATAGTAAGAGCTTGGTGATGATGAACTCCTTTAACTTGACCTTATCTGAGAAGTGCTTTATCTGCCCTTCCATTCCAAATGAAAGCTTAGCTGGCTAGAGCAATCTTGGTTGTAGGTCCTTGCCTTTCATGACATGGAATACCTCTTTCCAGCCCCTTCTTGCCTGTAAGGTCTCTTTTGAGAAATCAGCTGATAGTCCGATGGGAACTCCTTTGTAGGTGACTGTCTCTTTATCTCTTGCTGCTTCTAGGATTCTCTCCTTCGTTTTAATCTTGGCTCATATAATTATAATGTGCCTTAGTGTGTTCCTCTTTGGGTCCACCTTCTTTGGAACTGTCTGAGCTTCCTGGACTTCCTGGAAGT